TATCGAACAGTTTTTGTGAATTCAGTAAGTAGGAGTAATCAAGAAATTTCTAAAGTATTTTAGTGTACATTTTACTAACTCATTTTTATATCTTGCTGGAAGCTGTACGATACAGGAAAATGACTCGTATTTCGTAAATGAAATGTTTGAAAGGAGACTCTGTGAGTAGTCCAGTGGTTTTCAAGAGGTTTGAAAACATAAAATTTCTCTCACTACAGTTACAACCTATGCTTCAATACAAGAAAATTACCAGGTTAGTCTGTGTTTTGGCAGAGAAGGTAAACATTGTCTGCATTGTCTCTATGGGTTATCTTCTTTGCCCCCCCCCCTCCAATTCCTTCTGTGCTTAAATAATCCGCGAAGACATTCAAACCAAGCAAGTGTGATTTCTACTCAGCGACGTTTCAACCTTTGTAGCCTTATGTACCGCAAACCGAAAAGTTCCGGAAACCACTGATGCAAAACTTCTTCGCATTTACCATTGCTCCTACAGGTGCTACGTGACTGTATCCACTGCCCTACCTTACGTCACGAAGCAACCATCAGTGTTCTGACCTTGATCCTTTATCCATTCAATATTTATCTGTTCGGTCTGAAGATTGCCCAGACAGCAATCAAAACATCTGTTCGCACGTCATTGCGAAGTCTGTTCGAATGGTTAGAGTACTTTAATGTTTCATGGTACGAAGGTAATTGAGTAAGTAAAGACACAAATGCCATTATTTTATAAATACGGGGAATTGTGTGATAACATTTGGCAACACTGTTAAACATATGATTTGTAACATGCCTGCGCCTTTGCCAGTTTTTTGTAGTCTGTGATCTGCTCACAACGTTAGGGCAGATTTTGCGAGCATTTCGTTTCCTGTCATTCATTGTCATTGCACCCCATCGCTTTATGCCTTAAAGGTTGCCAAACAGCTAAGAATTGAACATAAATAACTTTATATACTACAAAAAGCCGTTTATGGTAGCCCAAACCAGACAGAGAGAAACGAGGAAAATTGCAGAGGCCATTGGGTTGTGTCATGTATATATATATACATATGTTTCGGCCGTACCCGGCCAACATCAGGCAACTGTTAATCTTGTTTGTATTTTCACTATATTTTAAAATGAATTATTTCCGAATTAAAATACATCAAGGGCCGCGCCATAGTTCAAGCAGTTAGTCGCTAGCTTCCCGGCCCGGGTTCGATCCCGGATGTGGTCAAGTGAGATTTGTGGTGGACAAAGTGGCGCTAGGGCAGGTTTTCTCCGAGTACTTCGGTTTCCCCTGCCAATCTTCATTCCACCAATTGCTCCACACTCACCCTCACCTATCATATGGGGCTGGTACAATAGGCCAGAAGTGGCCGCAGTACAAGGGACTTAGTCCCACCCTACTAGCAATAAAGAAAAAAATATATCAGTCTCATTCCAGTGTCGTCATCCATTCATAAAAGATATTTGTCTGAGCGCATTACAAGTCGTTATGTTTTCTCGCGCTGTTTTCCTGTTGCGCCTCCGATGTTTTCTGTTAATGTGTAGTGTGTGTAGTATTAATGAGTTTCGTTATTGTTAATTTTTACACTTTTGATAATTGATTGTACTTGCGAATGTTGTATAGCGTAGTTCTTACGAATGTCATAATGTTATTATCTGCAATATGTAAGAATATATTATTACATATCATTTGTTATGTTTTTGTGTTTGTATGTTAATTTCCTTTTTAGACTTGCATATTCCATTGGCTTGTATATTTCCACGGTGTTGGATTAGTTGAGTATGTATGTCACTTATTGTTACGAGAGCAGGAATATTTGAGACAGAACTATATATATATATTGTGACGTGGACGGAGCAACGCTCGGTAAAGACCCCCCTCCAGCGGTGACGTAACATCATCGGAGCAACTGCCACTGCTACGGTAACAGGCCAGTCAACACTCCGTCCCCCTCCCCCGCGGTGACGTAACAGGGGACACTGCGGTTACTACGCAGCAATAAACAACCCTCGGCAGCGCTCCCCAGCAACCCCTGTAAACACGGCGTTTACGCAACAGTGAAGCGATCACGTAACTATTTTCTGTATTGTCAGTGCGAGAGTTACTAGTAACCAGTCAGTTGCAGTCTAGCATTCGCCGGAGTGAATGGCAGCAAGAGAAGTAATTGTGATACTGCCGATGGCAGTAGTTGTGAAACTGTGAATTGTATAAGTGTAAGAGCGAATGTGCAATAAATTAGCTAGATCCAATACTGTGTGAAGTTATTTGTCGCGTGACATATTTACCCAACACGTGACAATTTGGTGTCATAATTGGTTTACGAACTTCAACACGCCACAAGTTACAACGAATTATACTGCCACATGATGAAAATTGAAGAAATTTTGGAACGCCTGCTGGCCGCCCAAGAAGATTTCCTGGCAAGAATGGGAAAGATGATGGCACGTCTAGAAGAAGAAAAGCCGACCTCAGTGGACAGGAAACCTGAGACGGCAGAAGAAGAAGAGGTCCCCGTAGAAGACGCCGAAGTAATGCTGGTCGGAGACCCGAAGAAGAAAAGACGTAGGGACCGAAAACTGGCCGCGGAGCGCCGCCACCAGAAACCGAAGAATTCGACACGAGAAAATTGTGGACCCCAGAAGAAATTGGCCTTCGCCCGCAGAGGGACGAGCCACCGTGAGAAAGTGACCCGGCAGACAAAGGAGACCGGGAGAAAGATGTCCGATGGTCCAAGAATTGCCTGGCGCAAGAGAAACGTCGGTAGGAGAAACTATATCAGGACCAAGTAGGACGAAAGAATCCAGAGACTCAGAGAAAGAGTGAGGAAGAAGTGAAAAGTGAAAATTAATGCAAAAGGATTCTGAAATACAATATTAAAGGATTGTGTATTAAGATTTCAGAAGACTGAAATTGCACTTGTTCTTCTTCTGGAGAGCTCTGTAGTGTAGCTAGAATATGATTTCAGAGAATTATTACGCTTAGCGTTCTTTGCAAATTGTCCATAAAATTAACTCATGACGAAACTGTAACTGTCAATCAGTTCTCGTGTTTCACACTTGAAACTGGCTGACATGATTAAGTCCTGATTCGTGCTGGACATATAGGAACACCGAGCAGGATTAAATTTCATTATAATCCCTACAAATCTTCGTCTGTTGTCTCACAAACGGCTCATTAAATCGACAATTACTGCATGATATACGATGTAAATGCCATTAAGGAATACGAACTTTAGACTTTAAAGGATTCTGACGATGGTGTATGCTGTACAGAACTGTAAGGCTTATTTTGAATTCTATCCGTCGTCTGATATATATGTAAGACAAAAAACCACAACGTTTCTGAGACTGGATCTGTCTCCGTCCTCAGGTGGATGGGGCAGGATAGACCTACTCAGTTGGGCCCGTTAGAACGACCAGTGATTGAGACTAGCTCTTTCTAACGGGCCCAACTGTGTATGTCTATCCTGCCCCATCCACCTGAGGACGGAGACAGATCCAGTCTCCGAAACATTGTGACTTTTTGTCTTATATATACCAGACGATGGATAAAGTCCAAAATAAGCCTTATAGTTCCATACAATACGAATTTTGTTTCAAATATTTTTTATATAATGAAAATTTAACTAAATGCAAAGACTCGCTTAACAGGGCGTCATGTCTCTGGTGTGGTGAGCTGTGGAACAATACAGTCGTACCTGTAATCAGTCAGCAACAAAACCGATTAAAATGGTGTAGTATAAACTCGCAAATGTCTTGAGTGTGTCTTACCACTCCTGTTTACATCGGCGTAAGTCCGACCTAAGAGGAAAGGCAAGTTGCCAGTTGGAAGCAGGCCGCTTCGTGTGAAAGTCCGCGTTGGCTGCTGTGGTGCTGACCTGCATACTTAACCCTTTGAAGCCTTAAATTCTCCTAAACAACATTTTAAATATTCAGTTCCTGCTGCATATAAACCACAGTTAGTTGCCATCGCCAAAGCCAATTGCTTAATGCTGATTAACTAACCAACTTCATGGAGCTGAACCCTTCTTGAGAAACCGCCAGTTGTGTAGCTATTCAAGAATTTCGCATCAATTTATGGAACCCGTGTTCACAAGAGCCCTCCACTGGTCCCTATCCTGAGCCAGATCGAGTCACTCCATACCACCCCATCCTATCTCTCTAAGATTAATTAGTGTTAACCACCCACCTACGTCTTTGTCATCCTAGTGGCCTCTTTCCTTCTGGCTTTCCCACAAATATTCCATATGCTCTTAATGATGATTAGGGGAATGATCTTTGTATATTTTCAGAATCGTGCAAAACATAAAAAGCACCCATGTGGGAAAAGTGAAGATTTGCTGGCTGTTTGAATGGTACATGTTTTAACCACTGCACTCTAAAGGGCTAATAATATCGACAGCTGGAACTTATTAATTGGTATATAAACTAGAGAAGTGATACAGATTAATTTATGATAATGCATATTCATTAGTGAAGACTGTATAATTAACTTTTACGTCATATCTATATTTGTAGCGTTTAGAAACTCATCATTTTCCCGCTCTGACTAATTATTTGTAAAGGTGTTACAGTAGGATACGTGTATGTTGTATGTTTTATAAACGAAATAAAGCAGTTCTTTCCAGCACCGCCAAATTTAAGGGCGGCGGGCGGGCGGGCGGGGCAGTTCCCCCCAAGGGCCTCCACGAAACAGAAATGGAGTTCACAAAGTTTATTGAGACATTTATGTCTCTAAAATCGCTAGAAGTTAGTTTGCATTTTAGTAGTTATAAGAAATAATAGCAACAACAACGACAACAAAGATTCGTCGTAACCTGAATTTATTGTTACTGATAACGGCCCCCTCTTTTTGGTTTCCCCGGCAACCCCACAATTTTAAATGTGGCCATGCTTTCCAATGCCGTCCCACTTGGGAACACGCCATACAGGTTCCGTAGTGTTTCATCAGCTTTGACTGTAAGATTACAAAGTGATTTCTGACGAAGTTGGCCTTCCTGTCTGTATGTTTCCAGGTGGATCCCCCTCCTAGCTACGAGGAAGTGGTTGATAAGGCTCCACGTTATTCCTCCCTGTTCCAGGTCACGGACTCAGGAGACGTGGTGCCCGTGCCGACTCACGCTGGCGGTAGCAATGCAAGGTAAGGCGATTTGCCGTTGACGTCCCTGGACAAGCGGATAGTTGTTCGTAAAATTATCTTGAAGGCCATTTTGTAATAACGTAGTAATGCTCAAGTATTGTGCCGGACACCTTTACATTGCAGTTCATACCTTGAGTGCCCAGTTGAAAACCCCACTCCCGCTCTCCCTTCTCGTGTTTGGAAGAGACATCACTGTTCTGGGAGTATTGCTCCACCGGGGGCTCTGTGCATACTTTTCGAGTCCGGCGCCCTTTCCTTCGCTTCTTAACAAGAAATTAGAATAAACGCTTTCTGTTACCAATAAAACATATTTTTGTCCCGTTTCTTGATTTTTCTTCATCTTTTAGGAAAGACCGTAAGCTAAATATTGTCACGGTTTTAGTGACAATAGATGGGGTTTGGATCAGTAACCGGATTTATTTAACTTTGAGTAAGGATTATGCTGTCACTGTTGTACACACTTCACAAAACACTATAAGACACACAAGATCTTCTCAATCTGTTACAGTCTTCACTAACCGTTGCGTGGTAGCGGCTTCCAGCTGCGGACATTTCACTTCCCCTGGGTTCCCAAAGTATCCCCGGCCTCAGCTAACAGCTTCTCACGACGACTAAACCGCAACAGCCCTCTAACTAACTCACAAACTGACTCACTCCTCACTAACTGCAACAGCTAACTGGCCTTGCTTATAACATCTCGGCACAGACCGCACAGAAAACACCGTTCATATATTGCTCTTTACGGCTTGCTGCCTAGTAACGGCTGTTGTGTAGTTGCTTATTTCATGGTCTTCGTCTTGAAGTCGGTCTACAGGCCACAATATTTCCACGCTATGCAAATAATCCCCACATATTTCGTTATCTACTTTATGATCTTGAGAACGGAGAGGGCTTGACCGACTGCATCAATTAACATGCCTTTAAGTACAAGGACACATGAGAAAGCGTGTGATGCATCTACAAGGGATAATTACTAGCATCTGCTGCAGAACTGAGCGGTGACGTGGTAGGTCAAGTAGGATACAGGCCTGTGCTAACAGAATTAGTGAACTCACTTTTCTTTCTGGAGATAAAACTAGGTCAAGGGGATCTTCATAGTTACATGTGACAAATAAGGTACATGAATCTGAGATGGGCCAGATATGTAGAAGGTAGGGGTCTCATATTTTAATTACGCAATGAATGCTGTGGTTTATAATTCTGAAACAGTTATTTGAAATACAGTAGGAGTATCTGATATCAAGTCTTTATATACCATTAGATCCAAAATTATTAGCTAGAATCATTTAATGCGTCAGTTCGCCCTCTGCATGAGTATTGCAGATGGAAGGCTTATGGAAGAGCAGATGTGCTTTCCTAACCGCGGCCGCTACACCGTCGAGGTCATAGGTCACGATAGGATAGAATTTGATAGGAGGCTGGGTGGGATCCATAACCGATCTGAAAAGAAAAACATTTAGGTAGGATTTGAGGTTCTCACGGAGGTCATTATGAGAGTTTACAGTCAGGAGATATTCTGTTGCTCTATAGGAATATCCGATCCCGGCGTGATGAGAATTTTACGCAAGGATCTAAATTTTCACCCGCACAAAATGGCGGTAGTGTAAGTGTTAGGCGATCGTGACATGGCAAACAGTAACGCGGTAGCTGAGCGTTTAATCTGAATTCTGTCCGACGATGTCATCCTTATGACAGATGTAGCACACTTCCACCTATCTGGCTATATCAACGAACAGAATTTCCGATATTGGGCAGAGGAAAATCCACAGTAGCTTCATCAACGTCCTCTTCACGGCGCACATGTAACTCTTTAGTATGGAGTGGCAAACTCGGAGTCATAGGCCCTTATTTTTTTAAGACGAAGATGGGCGTGCAGTTACAGTCACATCTGCCCGTTATGCTGAAATGTTACGGAACTTGCTCACACGAGAATTGAGCTCTCGACCCCATGGTTCCAGCAACTGCCCATACAGCGAGAGCATCCATGGAGATCGTTCATGAAATATTTCTGGAGCTCGTAATGTCACTCCGCGGCGGGCTTCCATGGCCTGCACGTTCACCTGATCTCTTCCTTTGGACGCACCTCAAAGCTAAGGTGTACACCACTCGGCTACGGAAAATCGAAGACCTCAGTTCGGAAGCAAATCTCAACGATACAAGGAGAGCACTGGGAAACCTACGAGCCAGGTTGGAAGGTACGCAGTGATGAGCAACATCTTGGTGGTGCGCTATTCAAAACGAAATAAGCAGAAATCTAATGAAATGTACGTGGAATAAAATAGAGTTCAGTGTTCATTCGTTCTGTAAAAATAAACTGAACATTAAAATAAAATTTCACTGCTTTATGTACTATTTGAAATTGTCAGGTTCGTTTGCGGCACCCGTTTGTAAGTACTTTATTATCGACTTGAATACCACTGACTGCTCTCTCTCTCTCTCTCTCTGCCTGTGACGTGAATGCCAAAGAATGAAGAAGCTCATGTGATTACTCTCTACCGGACTCGCCTAAGACAATGCTCGGATGTCTTTGCCTGTCTGATGAACCCTTCTTCGAGCTGCAAACTTTACATTCCTGTCAGCACTTGACGATTAATTGAGAAGCAAAGCTAATAAACATGTACGAAATGATTTCCTGTAGCTAGCTCGTTAAGGCCGCTGACTCATTCTCTGACGCATGTGCGTCAGGAGATGGTTAATTTCACACAGAAAGCCCCTGCTACCGTTTAAGGGACTTCACGGAATGTCTCTACGAATTGGACACTGTTCTGTGCATGTTAACAGTGTATTTTATACAAATTTTAATATTTAAGAGTTACATCTGCCGGGATATATCGCCGTTTAGTCCTTTGAAAGCCAACCGACGTTTCGGAAAGGTCTGCTTGCCACCTGCTTTCACGCTGGTTTCTTGGTCGATTTATTCTTCGAACCTGAAGATGGGAGTGAAATGTTCCTCCGTAACATCGGCTGACTATTAACGAACTACACGGCGTTATATCTCAGAAGATAAAACTCATCACAACCACCGCTGCCTCTGTCTTCTTGTTTGAATATATGCTAGGCGAGCAGACAGCTAGCCTATCACAGTGGCCGCGCAGTCTAAGGCACGAACCTTCTTTGCCCGCTTGAACAATGGGGTCGTGAGTTCCAATCCCACTCAATGCATGGATGTTCGTTTGGATTTATTCTGGGTTTGTGTTGTCCTGTGTAGGTAACGGCCTTGCGACTGGCTGATCCCCCGTCCGAGGCGTCCTACCGACTGTCTAAGCTTAAGAAACTGAAGTGAATCGAAGCGTTTCACGGATGCCCTGTGCTCCAAGTGGGAGCCACAGGAAGAGAGACGAGCGGAAAACACGCAAAAACCTCCACCAGACATCATGACGTCACTATCACAGCGCGCTGGGAGAACCTCAAATTCAGAGTCAGGAAACACAAGGATATTCTCGGCCTTTCTTTTTATTGAGTATATTTTCGAGGCAGGAAAATCTCTATCATCTATCAGACTGCCATTTCTTCCTTGCGTTCTTTACACTATGCGTATCCTTTGTTCTGTGACATCGGTTATGACTGCATTGTGAAGGCGAAATTAATTGAGGTTAAGACAGTGTAAAAGCAACAAATGTTGCCATATTAGTCACTGTAATGATAGCTTAGCCTAGTATGGGTGACCTTAATAGTGCTAAATCATGACGTCCGTTCATATCCTGAGGGGTTCCGGCGTCAGGCGTCATACCTAAGCCGTTTATGGAATTGTTTTGCGAGGAAAGTTATCAGTGCTTTATTCGATATGAATGTAGATGTACACGGGTGCACCTGTTCTCCGTATGAGCACACGTCCACAGACCTGCCTGGAGCTCCACCACGCATGCAGTTATGTGTAGGCTACGTCTCATCATTTTGATACTTTTAACACGGGTGATGTTTCGAGGTTTTTTTAACATTGGAGACAGTCAGGTGGTATAGCGATGGCTTGGACGGCCGGGATTCGATTGCAGGCATGGGAAAGAGGTCTTTCTCTCCACCATATCGATGATACTCGCTCTGGGACCCACCCAAACTCCTATTCAGTGGGTACCAAGGACTCTTTCCCTGGGGGGAAAGCGGCAGGGGCGTGACGCTGACCACTCACCACCGACTAGTGTCGAGGTCAAGAAAACGTGGATCTCCACATCCACTCCCCCATAGCCTCCTCCGAAAGTTCCTGTCCAGCCCCATTGTTTTCCGTCCTCTTACAGCAAGGATTCTGAAGTGTCCCTCACCACTATCCAGCCACCTTAGGCTGTCTTCCTCCCCCCTCACCCCTGTGCCTTCGGGCATGGGAAAAAGTTAAGTTTCCTGCATGGAGATATGTTTTATTTTTTATGTTCGTTGAGAAATTCTTTATCTTCGTTCAGCTGTTTTGTGTTCATGCGCCGTACGTGGTGCAGGAAGGGTGAAATTAATGAGGAAATTTTCCTATCGTTGCTCCCTTAAAGTGGCATTACTGTGAATAAATTAATATTTCCGTCTTTGGGGATCGACAGCTCCTGTTTGAATAACTTGATCACGTGTGTGTAGTATTTACCCAGACTTCGGCTCTTCCTACAGACCTAGATGAATTCGTGTTTCTTAGTAATTACTTATTTAACTTTAATATGCCTAGGCAGTTGGCTCAGGCGGTAAAAATTTCTGCCTTGCATGTGGGAAGTACCCAGTTCAAATCCTGGCCGGACACAAGTTTTTAATGACTTTTCTCAGTTCCTCTATGCAATTTCTGGGATAATACCTTAAATTCGGCCACGACCTCTTCTTTTCATATTCTTTTTCATTTATTCTCTAATAATCCTATCATTCGACTTTATATAGGTCTGATCTCGGTTCCTGATACCGTCCATGTATAAACTATAAAGGTAAAAAAGGTTAAGCTATTGCGTAACAGGCCGTGGAGGCCCATAGGTTTGTGAGACGTCGAGGCTCCTATGTCTTCTAGCTAGGCAGTTGGCTCACAGATGGCGGTGAGGTTG